AACGTTTATCATGATCATGACCTTTATCATCAACCGGGGTCATTCCCCAATGATTCGCAAGCCCTTCCGAGATTCGTCCAGAGGAGGGGGGGGGGGAGAGAGAGCCCCCCCCAATCCCACCCCCAGCTCCCCTCCCTCTTCGCTGAATTCCAAACGGAAAGGGGTTACAGAAAAGGGAGACCTCGAAAGCAGAGGTGCTTCTCTCCCCTCTGATGGGCGCCCGCGGAGCCCGGCGTCTTTTTGACTTCTACTGTCTATTTTATATCGATTCTCTTATATCTCTTGTTCCTTTTGTAAGCCGCCCGGAGCCTGCCTCGGCGGGGAAGGCGGGCTAAAAAACCAAACTCAAACATAATAATAAATCATTAATTAATAATTATCCGGGCACCACCAGTCCTGCCCAAGAGGACGCCCCCCTTGCCCACCCGGCCCCTCCCTCCGACAACCCCAAGAAGGGTCTTGGCGATCTGCTCGGGTTTTTTTTTTTTGGGGGGGGGGGGTTTTTTTTTTTTTTTTGCAAAGGAAAAGGGGGGGGGGGGAAAAAAAGTACCCGGCCCCAAACGACCCGTTCCCATTCTCTTTTGGGGGCCCCCGACGATTTCTCTTTTCCTCCACCCCCGCCCCCCCAGAGAGAAATTTTAGGACTGGGAGGAGGAAGGTGGAGAAAAGAAAGACAGTTGAGATGATCAAGCTGGGGGAGGGGAACAATTGAGGGGGGGGACATCAATTTAGGTCAAGGTGTCCCGTGCCCGAAACCCAGTCGAAGCCGACTCTGGGGTTGCGGTGCTCATCTCCGTTTCCAAGCCGAAGAGCCAGCGCTGTCCGAAGACGTTTCCGTCGTCATGTGGCCGGCGTGACTAGACGCCGAGGCGCAGGGAACGCTGTTAATGTACCTGCAAATAAATGCGCTCAAGCTCCGCCCGTCCTTCCAGGGTTTTTGTTTTTGGGAGGGCGAGACTAAGCGACCCCCCCCCCCCCAGTTGGCTCAGAAAAGGAGCTTGTCGAGCACATCAGTCTGCCTTTCGAACGCTCTCCCGTGTAAACGGGTTTAGGAAGCGGCGCGGCAGGCCTTTTGCAATGAAAAGGGCTTGTAATAAGTCACCCGTCTGGCATATTGATAAGGTCTTCAGGTGCACCCGGTTTCCCGTCGGATCTTGGAGATTTTTCGTTTGGTGCGCCCTGGCAGCGCCACCGGTCCACACGGAAACGAAAGAGGCGCTCGCGGTTCGGTCCCGCACCTGCCTTCCTTGGAAAGTTTGAGGGTCGGGAGTTTTAGACGAAAGGGGGGGGGGGTAAATCCGGCATCGACTCTGGGCGCCGTTGTGGAGAGGAGAGACGGACGTGGTAGAAATGGGTGACATGGTAACACACGCGTGCACACACATGTTGCATGTAACACACTGAATAGATCACAGCCGATGCTCCCTCTAAAGCTGTTTTGAGCAAAAATTCTACTTTGCGAGCCGCTGGCACTAAAATTGTGAGCGAGCGATCTGGCCCCTGCACAAATCAGTTTGCTCCGGAGCAAGGCTCCCTCTAGGCTGTGGAGTCTGGTGAGCAAAAATTCTACTTTGTGAGCTGCTGGCATGAAAGTCGTGAGCGAGCGATTGAGCTCCTGCAGAACTTAGTTTGCTCGGGAGCCCTCCTTCCTGAGCGAAGACAAAAAACCTGTGAACTGGAGGCTAAAAAACTGTGAGCTAGCTCACACCAACTCAGCTTAGAGGGAACACTGCTCCGGAGCCCTCCTTCCCGAGCTGTGACAAAAATGTGTGAGCCGGAGGCTGAAAAACGGTGAGCCGGCTCACACTGACTCAGCTTAGAGGGAACAACAGCTATATTGTGGCGCTGTTAACGAAGGGATCGTCACGAATCCCGAATCGAGAGTTACCAAGGTCCAACATCTCGTTACCAACGACGAAGAATAAATCCTTACGGACCACGAATAAATCGTTACGCCAATACGCCGGTGGCCCACTAAACTCGTGAAACTCGGAGTGAACCGAAGAGGTTAGGGGGCTCAGATGAATTGAGTGATAGGAGAGGGGGGGTAATTCATTTATTTAAAAAACGAAAAAATAGATGTTATGCCCATAGTCGGTGGAACTGTGAAACGATTAAGAGAAAAAGTGAAACTCAGCGTGAACTGAAGAGGTTAGGGGGCTCAGATGAACTGGATGATTGGGGGGGATTATTAATTTTGTTTAAAAAAACAACAATGAAAAAATAGATCATTGGGCCCATGGTCGGTGGAATTTTGAACGATTAAGAGAAAAAAAGTGAAATGGAGTGAACCGAAGAGGTTAGGGGGCTCAACTGAATTGGGTGATATGGGGGGGGGGGTTTTTTAATTTTTTTAAACAAAAAAAAAATAATGGGCGTTTAGGCCAAAAGGTTAGGGGGCTCAGATGAACTGGATGATTGGGGGGGATTATTAATTTTGTTTAAAAAAACAACAATGAAAAAATAGATCATTGGGCCCATGGTCGGTGGAATTTTGAACGATTAAGAGAAAAAAAGTGAAATGGAGTGAACCGAAGAGGTTAGGGGGCTCAACTGAATTGGGTGATATGGGGGGGGGGGTTTATTAATTTTTTTAAACAAAAAAATAATAATAGGTCGTTAGGCCAATAGTCCGTGTCCCTTTGAACGATTCAGAGAAAAAGTGAGAGAGACTCCGAGTGAACCGAAGAGGTTAGGGGGCTCAGCTGAATGGGGTCATTAAAAAAAATCGTTGAAACGCGATTGTCCGAGTCGACTGTCGCTCTCGCCGACCCCCTGTGCTCAATCTGCCTCTCTCTGCTAGGATGCTGTAGATGCTGCCTCTGAAGGTGCCAACGGGACTTCTGTTCTATTTAAGCTGGGTGGAGGAAGGGGGAAAGAGAAATCCCAGGAAGCCGCCTCCCCCCCCCTTTCAAGAGAAAACAGATCTCCAATCCCAGAGCAGTTTCAAGGGGGGGGCAAGGAAGGAGAGCCCCCCCCCCCAAGGTCCTTTTTCTCCGGTCCAGCTGTGGAGAAATCATAGCTTTCAACTAACTTTCCCCCCAAACTCCTTTATCCGGCCATCACTTCCGCCTCACTGGCTCTCCTGTTCCCAGTATATCCTATCCCTCCGGAGAAAGCTTAAAGGAGGCGGCTGGAACACCCTCTGAGCTCCACCCCCCCCCCCCCCAAGGATTTCTTCCTTTCCCTCTTCCCTTTGCCCCCTTGCCTTTTCAACCTCTAAATTAATCGACAAGAAGGTATCTGGCTCTCTTGCACTCTAGCCTGGGCCAGGTTTTTTTCTCTCTCTCCTTCCAGGTCGATTTTATTCCCTACTTCAATCAACGGAATAAAGGGAAAAAATTACAAAAAAACAAACAACACCTGTGTTCTGTGTGGGATACAATGACCAGCTAACCTGAGGAGGCCATGAACCACGAGGCTATTTAAATGCATAGAATGATAGCCCAGCCAAATAGGAAAGGTTCCGGCCTTCTCTCGCAGTGCCCCTCCACCCCCTTCCCAAATCCGGAAACCCTTTTTCCAGCTCCGGAAAGTTCTTCATTTTTTTTTTTTTTTTAAAAAGAGCCCTCTGCAAGGCGAGAAACGGGAAGACGATGTCGCCGGCCGTTGTGCTAGAACCATTTTAATATAATTATACATATCTGCCAAATCCAGAAAAGGAAAAAAAAAGTTTATGCATATATATTCTCTCTTTTTTTTTCAATTTCACATCTGCAAGCATTTAAAAACAATGAAGGATTTTTTTCTCCTTTAGGAAATTCAAGGTCAGAGCAATTGACCAAAGTCTTAAATATTCTCCCCCTCTCCTTACTGCTAGATTTCCCAACAGTAAGCGGAGTTTTACAGATGAGTTTTCAAAGTCCTTCTGTAATTTTTTTTTAATTGACTGGTTTTAATTAATTTTCCCCCCCATCTCGGTGGCTCATTCGATCATTTGTAAAAAGTTTTTTTTCAGTGCAGTTTACCTCTGGTGAAAGGCAATTGAGAAAGAGAGAGAAAAGAGAGAGAGAGAGAGAGAGAGAGAGAGAGAAATGGTGTGTAACTCAGTTGCTCAAATTTCACTGTTAATTATAACCTATTTAAAATAACAGCTGAACCCCTGCTGGCATGGAGTTCTTAGTTGCATACAATACAGGAGATCACAGTTTTTAAGTCTAGCACAGATTTAAAAAACACAGATGTACCATTTATATAAGACACACACTGATTGTCTCTTAAAAACTACATATTGACTCCTTATGGACATTATTCAGGGGTTTTTCTTTTCGCCTTTCCTCTTAAATAAAACAGTGCATCTAAGACAATCAGTCCCACAACCCACACAGCTCTGAACTGAGTTTTTTAAAAGGGTTTAACTGTGGTCAACTTTGCCAACCTTGGCCCTGAAGAGAGAGAGAGAGAGAGAGAGCAAGAGAGAGAGAGAGACGTTATCCATTAAAAAAATATTTTAACCGAGAGTTGGGAGACAAATTGGGAATGGGAAGAGAGGAGGAGTATTCTTTCCACACGCACACAAAAGAAAGGAAAGGAGGAGAGAAATCTAGACATTTCCTTTTTCAAAAAGAAGAAGAAGAAAGCAAGAAACCAATCCCACCCACCCCCCGCCCTTCGACAACCTGGCCCTTTCTTGGAACAATCCTCCAGACAAAGAGAACCAACGACTGGCTAAAACTAGAAGGTTCTGCGAGTCGACTCTCTGTCCACGTGAGGTGGCCTTCCTTCCCGGTCTTCCGTTCCAGAGCTTCTGAGTGAGACATGAAAATGGAGCGGGGTGTGTGTGAATTATCCTGGCCACTGTCTTTCCTTCTCTTCCAGTTTTCTCGTGCTCTTTCCGCGTCCCTCTTTAACTTAAGCTGAAGACCTGACTACCCGTGGAATGTTCAACCCTCCCCGGGCTTTGTCTCGTGTCTCTCAATGTCACTGTCATCGTGATCCTTCACAAACCGTCCTCCTCGTCGCTGCCGCGATGATTATTACAAAGGGTCCCTAACAGGACTTCACAAAACCTGGAACTTCCAGGAGGAGGTCTGGTCTTTATAATCCAAGCAGTCGGCGTTGAAGTTCAGTTTCCAGGAGGCGGTTTGGTCCTTATAATCCAAACAATCGGTAGCTGAGTTAAAGCCCAGACTGGAAGCCCCGTAGCCCTGGGTGGAGAGGGAAGCCGGAGACTGGTTGAGATGGCTGGCCACAGCGTTGGTGCCCATAGGACTGAGGGCAGCCCCTGGTCCCGGGAGCTGGTGGTGCATAGGGGTGAGATAAGATCCACAGTCCATCCCTCCAAAGTAGGAGGTGGAACCAGCGTATCCTTGGCTGTAGCCGGAGGCCTGAGTGTAGGTCATCGGATAGGACCTCTGCATGCACGAGGATGACGTCGAGAGGGGGTCCGAGAGCGGGGAGATGGAGGCCGGGCTCCAGATGGACACGGGAGCGCTGCTGCTGGAGATGGTCGGGACCGAGGTGCTGGAAGGTGGCGTGAACTGCCCGCTGGTCCCACTCTCGGAGCTCACTTCTCGAGCCGGGGAACTTTTCTTCTTGGCGGGCCTCACTTTGTTCTGGCCGCCGTTCTGCTGCTGCTGCTGCTGTTGGCGGCACTTGGCCCGACGGTTTTTGAACCACACCTGGGAGGAGGGGGAAGGGAAGTGATAGGAGAGAGAGAGAAGAAAAGGTGCAACGTTTGTTAGACATGTGGATCTCAGAAAACCGGGAGAGGGACAACGGTCTCTTTGGTGGCTGCCAAGAGCAAGCAGGTAGTATCTAAAGGGGTTTGGGACTCTCCTGGAAGATCACTGTGGTCACAGGGAAGCTTTCCTTTACTGCTCCTCCTTACGTTGTATGTATGCCAAGGAGAAGCTTTTGGTAGCGACTCTAGTGCTAGGTTAAGAACTTCAAAAGAGACCTGCTGGATCAGAGGCATGGTCCATCTAGGCCAGCATCCTGTCTTACACAGTGGCCAACCAGTTCCTCTGGAGGGCCAACAACATGCATAGAGGCTGAGGCCTTCATAAGAGCGTAAGAAGAGCCCTGCTGAATCAGACCTGTGGTCCATCTAGTCCAGCATCCTGTCTCACATGGTGGCCAACCAGTTCCTCTGGAGGGCCAACAACAGGCATAGAGGCTGAGGCCTTCATAAGAGCGTAAGAAGAGCCCTGCTGAATCAGACCTGTGGTCCATCTAGTCCAGCATCCTGTCTCACATGGTGGCCAACCAGTTCCTCTGGAGAGCCAACCACAGGGCAGAGAGGCCGAGGCCTTCATAAAAACATCAGAAAAGCCCTGCTGGATCAGACCAGTGGTCCATCTAGTCGAGCATCCTGATTCACACAGTGGCCAACCAGAGGGTGACTTCTCTGAATGTGCTGGTTTGCTTTAGTCACCATGGCTAGTAGCCCTGATAGACCTCTCCATGAATCTATCTAGTCCCCTTTGAAAGCCTTCTAAGTCTGTGGCCATCACTACATCCTCTGGCAGCAAATTCCACATTTTAATCAACTTTGCCCATTGGATGGAAGGTTGCTGAGACATCTGGTGAAGCAAAAGAATGAAAAAAGGCTGGCTGCATCAGACCAAATGGCCATCTAGTCCAGCTCCCTGTGTTCTCTGGTGGCCAACCAGATGCATCACACCAAAATCTCCCCTTACTTCTCTCCCTCTGGTGAACTAGCATTCAAAGATAGTCTCCAAGCTGACCTTGAAGCTCTTGCTTTAGTTGAAATACCATGGCAATTCTAATAGCACAGAAGTTAGCATGGTTTGGTGGCATCATGGAAACATGGTAAGAACATAGGAGAACATAAGAACGTGAAGAGAAGCCATGTTGGATGAGGCCAAAGGCCCATCCAGTCCCACACTCTGTGTCACACAGTAGTAAAAATCCAGGTGACATCAGGAAGTCCACCAGTGGAGCCAGAACTCCAGAATCCCTCCCACTGTTGCCCCCAAGGACCAAGAATACAGAGCATCACTGCCTCAGACATAACAACATAAGATAAATCATGTTGGATAAGACCAATGGCCCATCCAGTCCATCACTCTGACACACAGTGGCCAAAACCCAGGTGCCATCAGGAGGTCCTCCAGTGGGGCCAGAACTCCAGACAGCCTCCCACTGTGGCCCCACCCAAGCACCAAGGATACAGAACATCACTGCCCCAGACAGAGTGCTCCCTCTATACCATGTAGCTTATAGCCACTGATGGACCTCTGCTCCTCCATGTTTCTCTAATCCCCTCTTGAAGCCGTCTATGCTTGTAGCCACCACCACTTCCTGTGGCAGTGAATTCCACTTATTCATTACTCATTGGATACTCTCTTTGGAGATCTTCGAGAGTCATGACTTCCCCGGGCTGGCTCAGCAGAGAACATAACAGAGGATTAGTTTCTGGGAACCAGGAGCCATTCTTTGGTGGCCAGACAAGGTCATCATGCAGTTCTTGGTTTGCCGGGCATTTCAGACCTCTTCCTCCTTGCTCTTTTTGTAGCAGGAACTCCCTTGCATATTAGGCGACACACCCCTAATGTAACCAATCCTCCAAGAGCTTACAGTAGTCCCTATAAGAAGAGCTGTGTAAGATCTTGGAGGATTGGCCACATTTCAGGGCTCTTTTTGTAGCAGGAACTCCTTTGCATATTAGGCGACACACCCCTCATGTAGCCAATCCTCCAAGAACTTACAGTAGCCCCTGTAAGAAGAGCTCTTGGAGGATTGGCTACATTAGGGGGGGTGTTGCCTAATATGCAAAGGAGTTCCTGCTACAAAAAGAGCCCGGAGTGTGATCTAGTATGGGTTGCAATAATGGCGGATCCCTGAGCTTTTCTGTCCAAGGGACAATCCCCATCACTATGTTTGAGGTGACAGAGGGGTGGGAGGGTGCCCTCACCAGGGCTCAGTGGAACAGCCTCTGCTTAGCGTACGGAAGGTCCCAGGTTCAATCCCCGGCATCTCCAGTTAAAAGGATCAGGCAGGAGGTGATGTGAAAGACCTCCACCTGAGACCCTGGAGAGCTGTAAAGAGCGGCCGTGGCTCAGTGGTAGAGCATCTGCTTAGCGTACGGAAGGTCCCAGATTCAATCCCCGGCATCTCCAGTTTAAAGGATCAGGTAGGAGGTGATGTAAAAGACCTCTGCCTGAGACCCTGGGGAGCCATTGCCAGTCTGAATAGACTATACAGAGCTTGATGGACCAAGATTCTGACTCAATATATGGCAGCCTCATGGGAGTTCACCCAGATGGTCTTATCAGTTCTTGGAAGCTAAGCAGGGTTGGCCCTGGTTAGTACTTGCATGGGAGACCACCAAGGGAGTCCGGGGTTGTTAAGCAAAGGCAGGCAATGGCAAACCACCTCTGTTGGTCTCTTGCCTTGAAAACCCTACGGGGTTGCCATAAATCAGCTCAACTTTCCACCACCACGTTGAGAGTAATTAACTTATTTTGCCCTGACCTGGATAGCCCAAGCTAGCACAATCTCACGAGATCTCAGAAGCTCAGTGAACACACCAGAAGAAGAAGAAGAAGAAGAAGAAGAAGAAGAAGAAGAAGAAGAAGAGGAGGAGGAGGAGGAGGAGGAGGACCCCACAACAGGCACCCTGTGAGCAAGTCGACTTGTTAAGCAATGGAGTTTGCACCACTTGGCTTGTGAACCTGTCGGTTATGATGCTGGAGGTAGAACCGGCTATGCCAAAGACAATCGGGAATCCTCAGGGTACAAGTAGAGCCGCAAACAACACCCACCAAGGGAAGACCATCTACAATTCACAGTTGTATGTGCTCAAAACTGTATATTCCATTCACTGAAATACAAAGAAGGGCTAGTGGACGTAACCCAATAGAGCGTCTGGTAATGCTCCCTCTAAGCTGTGGAGTCTGGTGAGCAGAAATTCTACTTTGTGAGCTACTGGCATTGTGAGTGAGCGATTTGGCAGCTGCAGAAATTAGCTTGATCTGGAGCCCTCCTTCCTGAGCTAAGACAAAAATCTGTGAGCTTAGAGGGAACACTGCCTGTGAGGCAGGTGGGGCTGCGAGAACTCTGACATAAACTGCTCTTTTTCAAGAACAGCTCTGACAGAACTATCTGGTCATCCAGCAGGTACAAGTGGAGGAGTGGGGAATCAAACCCGGTTCTCCCAAATTAGAGTCAGCGCACTTAACCACTGCACCAAACTGGCTCTCAGATAGAGATGGAATTCAACGAGATCTGAACACCCTGGAAAAGGGGGTGGATGTGAACAAGATGCAATTTAACAGGGATAAGCGCCGAGTTCTACATCTGGGTAACAAAAATGAGGAGCACGCATACTGGATGGGGGATATGCTTCTGAGTAGCAGTGTGTGTGAACCAGATCTTGGGGTGAGGGTGGACCGAAAGTTAAATATGAGCGGCCAGTGAGATGCAGCGAGAAAAAAGGCAAATACGATCTTGGGGTGTATCAACAGAGGCATAACCAGGGCCACTAGGTGAACTAGGCATTCGCCTAGAATGCCGGGCCCTAGATGGAGCACCATTCTGTGCCTCCCCCCTCCCCCCCCTTTGGTGGCAGTGGGGGGGAGGTGGTGGTGGCAGCAGAAAAAGGGTGGCTGGCTCCAGAGGTCTCCAGGTCTCCAGGCCCCAACCGGGAGGTTGGCATCTGCGCCATAAGGCACCCTTGCCTAGGGCACAGAAACACCACGAGCCGGCCCTGGGCATAACATCCAAATCACAAGATGTCGTAGTTCCTCTGTACACTGTATTGGTCAGGCTGCACCTGGAGGATTGTGTGCAGTTCTGGAGGCCTCACTTCCAAAAGGATGTGGACAGAATGGAGCGGGGGTGCAGAGGAGAGCGACGAGGATGATCGGGGGCCTGGAGACCGAAGCCCTGGGGGGAAAGGCTGAGGGACTTGGGAATGGTCGGTCTGGAGAAGAGGAGGTTGAGGGGGGACAGGATGGCTCTCTTGAAGCCTTTGAAGGGCTGTCACTTAGAGGAGGCCAGATCCTTGGCTGCCGCAGTTCAACCTCCAACGACATCCACCAAGGGAAGTCCATCTACAAGTCACAACTGTATCTACTCAAAACTGTACATTGCATTCATTAAAACACAAAGAAAGGTTAGTGGGCAGAGCCCCATAGAATGTATAGGCACTTATCCAACAGACTGCTCATGACAATTAAGCATAGTTTATAAAAAGAACGTCCTGATTTATACCTGGGAGAGGCATCCAGTGGCTATTCCTTCCACGGTGGGCATCTCCTGCTGCAGTCACTTTCTGTTTGGAGGTCTATGGACCAGGGCTATTTTTGGACAGGAACACACAGGAACGGAGTTCCGTCTGGCTCCCGAGTTGGCCACACCCAGCAGGAACTCATTAGCATAATAGGCCACACCCAACAGCAGAAACTGATTAGGATTGGCTACATTAGGGGTGTGGCCTAACATGCAAAGAGGTTCCTGCTACAAAAAAACCTCTGGATTTTGACAACAAACAAACAGAATAAGAATCAAAAGGTGGCTGGATGACCAGACTTCTGGTAAAATGGGGGTGCGGCATAATATGCTAATGAGGGGTGCTGTCAGGGTGTGGCCTAATATGCTAATATGTTTCTGCTGTTGGGTGTGGCCTATTATGCTAATGAGTTCCTGCTGGGCT